CTGAAAAACCACCAAACTGGTTTCCAAAGTAGTTGTACAAGTTTACACTCCCAGGAGCAGAGGAGGAACTTTCCCCATGCTCCGCATCCTCCCCATCATGAGCTGTCACTTGACTTTTTTTTTTTTTTTTTTTTTTTAAAGATTTATTTATTTATTATTTGTAAGTACACTGTCGCTGTCTTCAGACACCCATATGAGGGCATCAGATCTCATTGCAGATGGTTGTGAGCCACCATGTGGTTGCTGGGATTTGAACTCATGACCTCTAGAAGAGCAGTCAGTGCTCTTAACCGCTGAGCCATCTCACCAGCCCGTCACTTGACTTTTTGATCTTAGTCACTTTGACAGGTGTAAGATGTCTGTGTCATTTTGGTTTGCATTTCTCTGATAACTAAGGATGTTAAACATTTCTTTAAGTGCTTCTTGACCATGAAGAGATTCCTTTGTTGAGAATTCTGATTTCAACCTGCCTGCCTGATGTTACCAACAACACATTATAAAGGTGCCTTGATATGTCTTTCTTCTGTAATTATAAAAACTTCATGAAACTGTCACTACTTTGGAACATTGTATTTGAGACAAATGAATCCAGCTTCCAAGGCCCTGGGCACCAGTGTTTGGCTCCAGGAAATATTATCTTTTATTTCTTTTGAGGTGGGAGCTCTGTTTTTATGGAAACACAGTTCCTTATCAAATTCCTCACAGCCTCCTCCTTTGAATCTGACTTCTGCTACATCTTTGCTACTGGTATAGGCTCTGTGATTAGACTGGGTCTGAAAGACTTTAATGTTACGAGTCTAGCTGTTGCTCAAGTCACAGCACCTTGCAGCAGCTCTCCTCCCTCTTAGACAGAAACACTACTTAGGGCAGTCTCTGTGAAGCTCTAGTTAAGAGACTCATAGGTGTCAAGACCTCTCACCTGGGGAATAAATTCACATCAAATGCAGTATAAATGGCCATGCATCCTGCTCCCCACCTCCTAGCTGGCCTCCTTTCTGAAAACCAGAAAGCTTGGCTATAGGCCCATGCGATAAAGCCACCTGCACCTCAAAATGATATGAGACCTTCTGCCACATGGGCCTCATTTCCATTGCAGAGCCTGGATCACACTATCTATGGCTTTAATAACTCTTCTCATAAACTCTTTACTCCCAAAAGCCTGTCTCAGCACTCTTCTTGAACCTACATCTGATTGCTTACAGGATTCCTGTGTATAATGAAGGGTATCCCTACCCCTTTCTTAAAATCTGTGACTCTAATCACATATTCAAACAAAGTTCCCTTGCCATGCAGCATAATATATTCACAGGCTCCAAGGACTCCTTGTAACAGGACCTCAGACAGTAGTCGGCCCCAAACCTTAGGACAGCTGATATCATGTTAGAAACACCATTCAGGCCTTGAAACCCAGCCATCCATTGCTTGCCAGAAAAGGAACCAAGATCTAGCCAAAATAGGAACAAAGGTTAAGTCAACATTCTGGGAGGTGTCTGGGAAAGTCTGAGTGAAAAAATCCCTAAATGTACTCACCATACTTTTTCACTTCTGTAGTTCTGCTTCATGCTAACTAAAATGTGCCAACCAGGATATGGTTTTTGTGCATAAAAGGCTAAAAAAAAAAAAATGCTAAGACAGAGCTGAGCAAGCTTACCTCACAAGAGCTTATCTACAGTTTTCAGGACACCATTTTCCTGCCTACCACAGTGACTATTATTTTCTGGCATATCTCTTACACAATTTGTGCAACTATCTTGAAGCATATGACTACATTAATTTTGGTCAGATTAATTTTGGTCCATTTTGTTGGAACAATGAAAAGTCTAAAAGTCCTTTGAGGAAGTTATAATGAACCAGACTTTAACAGTTAGTAGAAAGGGGAGTCTGACTATGTACATAGAGGAGGGAAATACCCAAACAAGATAAAATAACCAATAAATTCTTTACTTAGAAGGAAAGTATCAAGTTTATGACCTGATAGCCACGTGGTTGTCTGTTTTACATAGGTGGAAAATATACAGTGAAACAATTGCTACATTTATCTTTCTTCCCAGCACTAACTGTTTTCTGAAGGCATTACTCTACCATTAATACCTAAGGTAATCTACTTTGTACACTACTGAATTTATTTATTTTGGTTAAAATTACATAATAAAATATTTCCTTCCCCCAAAATTCTATAATATTGAATTGTAGAGTCAATTATTGGATAGGTAATATTTCAGGTCAGAAAATACAAATTCAGCATTATACTTCTAGCCTGAAGGGAAAAATGCCAGGATACAAATGAATAAATTACAACCCTGTGCAGTGAGGGATATAGGTGAAGCAAGTGTAAGTATAATAAATGGTTTGCTCTATGGGGGCAGGAAGGCAAGAGTTTCTTGGTTTAAGCACAAATCTGAAGGATAGGACAGGAGGAAATCTGAGCTAAAAGCATTATGAAGTGACTCAAGGTTTATGGTAAAATACTGGCATTTCTGGAAGGTAAAAAGTACTGGCAAGGGGTGAGAAGCCACATTGTTAAATCTTGTCACATCCCTGTGGTTTGCTGAAGATGTGTTGCTGGTCCAATCTTTCTGATCTGGAAAAACTCATGATCAGATTTGCAATTTGGAAAGATAACTTTCCCTGCAGAAGAGACTGGGTTAGAGGTTAGTTACAAACTATAGAACCAGCTTACGTGAGACTGACATACAGCAAGCTCTAAACTAAAGGAAAGGGGAGCACAGAGCTGAAGAAATGGCAAGATGGTAAGGGAAGATCCATTAAGCTTTATTACTGATTAAAGGAAAAATTACTGACAAGGGAAGGAGAGGGAGGTAGAGGGGGAACTGATAGTTGCATGGAAATTTCTAAGATAGGAAGACAATTCAGACATATTATCTAACTTAAGGAATTAAGGCAAACAAAGGGAGAGGGTATGGTGACTTACTGATTCCTTGGGCAAGATTTAGTTAGGTTCCTTTTATGACTTTTCACAGGTAACTGACGTCCATTGACCTCTGCCTTGGGCCTATCTAAGCCCAGTGATAGCAAGAATCCTCTAAGTTGGTATAAAATGAATCCCCACTCTTGGTAACTGGTCCTTCTCATCTTCCCTCACCAAGGATGTTTCTGTTCAGCAAGAATGTCTTGTTATCTGAAGACCTTTCCACCTGAGTATCCATCCCATGTGCAGTCACCAAAGGTAGATGCTGATGTGGAAGTCAGGAAGTGCATGCTGATAAGAGCCTGATATGGATGTCTCCTCAGAGGTCTTCAAGAGTCTGACATATTCAGAGGCAGATGCTCACAACTAGCCATTGAAGTGATTATGGGGTTCTCAATGGAGGAGTTAGAGTGAAGACTGAAGGAGCTGAAAGGATTTGTGGCCCCATGAGGAGAGCAACAATACCAACCAACCACAGCTCCCAGGGTCTAAACCACCAGCCTGGGAGCACTTATAGAGGGATCCAGGGCCTTAGCTGAATATATAAGAGTGGAGGGCCCTGCTGGGCACAGGTGGAAGATGAGATCCTTGACCTCATGAAGGCTGGACGCCCCAGGGGGTGGGAGTTTTGAGGGTGGGGAGGTGGGAGTGGGGGGTAGATAGAGGTTACATCCACAAAGAAGAAGGAGGAGGTGTGAGGGGATTGGGGGTTCCTGGGTGGGTGGGGGATGGGGTAAGGGGACAACATATGAAATGTAAATAAAACATCCAATAAAAAAATTAAAAAAAAAAAAAAAAGAATGTCTTGTTACCTTTGATGTGATGTCATCTCTTGTAATCTTCCATCCAATGACCACCCCCTTTGCCTATTGTTCTAAACGTCACTCTTTGTTGTGTCAGAACTTGGAGCTGACAGCTCACTATGGTAATAGTTCTGACCAACCTTTTCACCTTTTTAACAGTGTCAGAATACTTTAATATTAGTAAATTAATAGTAAAAAAAAATCATGAACTCAAGTTACTTCTAAGGCTTTCTTAATTTAATTTTTGGAGTACATATTTTGATTGTTGTGTAGCTATGAAATAGCTAATACACTGCTAGGATTTACCAGACATTAATGACTAGTGTGCTCACTTTTCTTTTTTTGTCTCTCTTCTCTCTCTCTCTCTCTTCCTTTTTTTTTAGGGGAAGTGTCAAGGTCTCCCTATATCGCCTGCCCTCGCCTTGAGTTTATAGTCTTACTACATTTTTAACCTTTGTAAAGCTTAACCTCTGTAATCATAAGCTCTTAATTAAAAACTGTCAGTGTATCTGGCAGCACATGTAATGCCCTTCCTAAAGGGCTTTACAATCATTTTCATTTTACTACCCTTGAAGGTGAACACTGAGGACCTAATCTGATGGTCTAGTTAACTAGTTAACACTAGACCTGTGGCAGGTTGTAATTTGAATCCCTGGTACACAACAAATATCAAGATTTCAACGAGTTGATTACAGGACCATCAGTAGGGTAGTACCCGCTAACTTCGACAGGATGGTATACGCAAAAAAGCTTTTAAGTTGACAGACTCCGTAGCTGTGCTAAAAACAGACAAAGAGGAGGTATCACCACAGCAGGATCACAGAATCCGGCCAGGCTGCTCAGATCCAGGGTGCTGTTAAAGCGGTTCCCAGGAACCTGGGCAACACAGAGCAGACGGCAGAGCCTCCTAGCACGCTCAGCCCTGCTGAAATAGGGATGGTAACCGGCAAGCAAGCAACCAGGAACTACTCTGAGACAGCACTGAGATTAAAAGCCATTGATCTCCGCCTAACCGTCACAACAGATTATAAAAATATAACTTGCTCCTTCCAAAGCAGTGCATCTGCCTAGCACTCAGCTCCAACAAACTTCCCGCCCCCTTCCTCTCTCCCACATCCACGCCCTATTACGCACACTTAGGAGGGCAGAAGGCAGAAAAACAGGACCTAGAGCTTGCGTCACTTCCGCCGGGGCGTGGCGTGGCGGGGGGCGGTGCTAGTGGCGCCAGTGTTTGGGGTCCGGGCGCCGCTGCTGCGAGAAGGCCGGGCGGGCTGATGCGGACATCAGCGCTGGGGAGAGGCGAGTGGCGGCCGCGGCGCCCGTGACTACTGCCTGCGTCCCGGTGAGTGGCAGGAAGCCGGCGGGGTGGCAGGTGGCCTCCGCGGCGCGGGCGCTCCGCCTGGCTCTCCCGCGGGCGTTTCGGAGGCCGGGTTCGCAGGCCTCGGGGTCCCGGCGGGCGCTGTGTCCCGCTGCCCGGTGCTGCGGGCGTGGCCGTCGGGGTGTTTTGGTCGGTTGCGTCCCGCCCCCGCCGGTGGTCCCGCCCAGCCCCTCTCCGAGGTGGCGCGATCGGGTCCTGAATGGTGTGTTCTCTGGCAGTTCGCTGGAGACGCTTTCTCTGTTCTACGTCGTCCTTGAATAGACAGCGTGCGCCTTGTGTTTTGGTAGCTGGATGTTTTTACTTCTCGGCGATTTTTTTTCTCTTCCCGCAAATGATCCTTATCCCAGAGCGCTGCTGCTTAAGCAGAATCAGATGGACGTGACTTTTAAAAAATGAAGAAACTCTGTGAGTCAGCAGGTTGCAGAGCCTCTTGTCACTGACGTTTCTGTCATGCTAGGAGCGGAGGCGGGGAGGGTAAGACCAGTTTCCACTCCCAATACAGTAATAACTTTAAAGAAAAGTGACATTCAAGGCATATCTTAGGAGATAGATGTAACATAAGGGGCTATCCTAGGGTACGTTTAACATTGCCATTTTCACTTCCAAGAACAGTTGTATTCTGGGACCGAATTCCTGATTGTCAAAAATATATTTCAGGCTCTCAAGGCGGTAGGTACATCACCACAAGGAAATGTGAAGAATGTTAAAAAAAAGTGAAGATTTTTTATAAAAGTACATTACACTGAATTGGAAAGCTTATGTTTTAGTGAAGCAGTCAGTTGTACCAAATTCCATATAGCTATTTTGTGAAATTTGGTATGCATATTAGATGAATCTCCAATATAAAGACCTCACTTCATAGTTTTTGGTAATTGTACTATTTTCAATCTTGTATTTCTCCATCTAATTTTAAAATCTTGCTAGCAATGGCCCTCTGCGTTAATGATGTCAGATTAATGAAAAGGTCAGGATCACTAGCTTAGATTAGTACATCCATACTTTCACATGCAGAATTGATACAAGAACAGTCTGTACTTGGAGTTGTTTTTCTCAGTAAAGACTGGATTTGTTAGTTCATTTGGGGAACTTATGTTTGTATAAGGGACAGGACTAGACTCTTGTTTCATCTCAATTCCCACTCATTCTCAATCTCTTGTATTTTATTCGCCTTAGTATTCTTTGCTTTTAAAAGGATATGTTCCGCCGTAAAGATTCAAAGTTTGGTTCACAGCATCCATATCTGGCAGTTCTCAGCCACTTGTACTTCTAGCTCTAGGTGAGCCAATGCCGTCTTCTGGCTTCCACAGGCAACTTTACTTTCATGTACATACAGCTACATAGACACACATGCATATATATGTAAGTTTTAAAATTAAAATAAATCCTTTTTTTAAGAATAGCTAAACTAGCTGGGCGGTGGTGGCGCACGCCTTTAATCCCAGCACTTGGGAGGCAGAGGCAGGCGGATTTCTGAGTTCGAGAGTTCTAGACTAGCCTGGTCTACAGAGTGAGTTCCAGGACAGCCAGGGCTACACAGAGAAACCCTATCTAGAAAAACCAAACCAAAAAAAAAAAAAAAAAAAAGGATACTTTTCTTGCTGTTTTGCTTGAGTGTTTTTCTTCCTGTTCCTAATTTTGGGTACCACTCAAAGCTCTATCCACATTGTTCTCCTCAAATTGAAACCAAAGTCATATTAATAAGCTCATGGATATCCTGAAATGTCAAGGAAAATATAGGGTATATTTATTTGTAGCTGACCATTTTTCAAAAGAAAACAGCTTATTTTTGTTAGGTCCTGTGCATCCAAATACTGTAGGCCATCCTTGGGTAACCATTTGGCCTTAAGAGTTCAGTAGTTATTGTACTGATTATATCATACATAAATGCAGTCTCTGTATTTCTATTTCAATGCCTATCATTAATGCATTCTGTAAATAACAGAAGAAAATCCAGTTTCCTTTATGTTATACTGTCCCCTTTTCCAGGTCTCTCCTCTTCAAAAGTGGCATTTTCCCTCTGTGTCTGCTTGAAAAATTAAGAGTTTTCTTGACAACTTCTCTCCTTATCCCATTGATGCTTGTCACCAAGTCCTGTTTCTTTTTTATATATATTTTATTTTTACCTTTCATGTGTATATATAGGTGTTTGTTTGTAGTTAATGCAGACATGAGTGGAAGTGCGTGGAGAAACCAAAAGGTGTCATCTCTCCTGGTAAGTGCAGACAGCTGTGAACTGGCAGCTGTTAGCAGCCTAATGTGGGTTCTGGGAACCAAGCTCTAGTCCTTTGGAAGAAGAGCACACACTCGTAACCAGTAACCCATCCATCTCTTTCTTTTGTAATTTTTTTTTCCTCTTCAAAATGTGATTCACAGTAGAGCCCACTTCTGCATTCCTGCACTGTTACTGTATTCAGACCCTTGTTGCTTTTTTGTCTGCATTATTGCAGTTGTTAAATAACATATTCTGTATTTTCATTCTGTCCAAAATTGGGCCTATACCTAGCATCTCCCTGTCTCTCAATGTCCGTTAGTTAAAATTCCCTCCTTTCCCTAGGGTAGAACTAGGTCTCCCTTTCTGCTTACACCTGCACTGTGCTGATACATAGCTCTTTCCCCAGTTGATAGCACTCTTCCCATTTTCATTCTTTTTCCTAATTTTTTTGTTTTGTTTTGTTTTTCAAGACAGGATTTCTCTGTGTAGCCCTGGCTGTCCTGGAACTCACTCTGTAGACCAGGCTGGCCTCGAATTTAGAAATCCGCCTGCCTCTGCCTCCCAAGTGCTGGGATTAAAGGCGTGCACAACCACTGCCCGGCCCTTTTTCCTCCTTTTGCTGTAACTTTTGTGGTAGTTGACTTTCCTCTCAAAACATTTTTCAGTGCATTTTCTAATACTGATACTTGTTTAATAGCAGTGAAGCTTGTTGCTCACTTCTGTGTAAGTAATTGTTGCTTGATACTTGTCATTTCTCATAGCTATTGTTTTTCTGCAATGTTTTCCATTTTGGGGGCTTTATATCCTGTTTATTGACACCAAATTGATAGGTATATATAGTTAAGTGATTATATCTTTAAAACTTTTAAAAGTGAAGAGGTCAGGAACTTTGGAAAGGTCATGGGACACTTGCTAGATTAACATTCCTCAGTCAGAGGACACTTGCTGGACTAACACTCCTCAGTCAGAGGACACTTGCTGGATTAACATTCTTTAGTCAGAGGATATTTGCTGGATTGACATTCCTCAGTCAGAGGACACTTGCTGGACTAACACTGTTCAGTCAGAGGGCACTTGTTGGATTAACAGTCTTCAGTCAGAGGACACTTGCTGGATTAACATTTCTCCTCAGAGGAGGAAGGGAGAGGCTACTTAACATTCCACAGTCAAAGGACACTTGTAGGAGTAACATTCCTTGGTCAAAGAACACTTGCTGGATTAACATTCCTCCTCCTCAGAGGAAGAGAGAGAGAGAGAGAGAGAGAGAGAGGGAGGGGGGGAAGGGAGGGGTGTGCAGGGGGAGCTAATTAGCTACTCAGAGGACACTTGCTGGATTAACATTCCTCAATCAGAGTACAGTTTCTGGATTAAAGTCCTCAGTCAGAAAACACTTGCTGGATTAACATTCCTCTTCAAAGGAGGAAGGGAGAGGCTGATTAACATTCCACAGTCAGAACTAGGTCAGACAAGGGAAGTCCTTGACACCTTATTCCCTAAAGACCAATCAGTTTAAAAGTTACCCTGTTCTGCCAATCATATTGTGCTGAGTCACTGTTTCTCTAGTCAGCCCCTTAAACTGTGTAAAAACTGACCAAATGGGCTGCCTGGGTCGCCATCTCTTTTTTGGGTACAGGATTACCCGAGTGCGTTGGCTCATTAAAATTCCTCTTGCTATTTGCATCGATTCACGACTCTGTGTAGTTCACTCAGGGGTCTCCAGTAAGCCAAGGCTCACAGGAGTCTTACATTTGGTGCATTGGCCGGGGAAACTGACCTCCTGTGGGAACCCACAGAGGGTGGTGAATCAGAGGTCTCAAGGCAAGTACGATGGTTTATTTGTCTCTTATCTGCTATCTGTCAAAGTCTGAACCTGTAAACATGTCTGAACTTTTGGTTTGCTTGCAAGCATCTGGAATGCTCAGATGGTGTTTGGGGTAGTCAAGAGCGGCAGGCAGGCGTGCCACCTAGGGGAGTCTGCAGAACACTTCAGGTCCCCCAGAGGGGGTTGAGAGGACCCTGCTCCTTTTTGAACCTGTAGATTTGGTCCTGTTAGATTTGGTCCCAGCGTAAGCTGGCCAAGTCGACTGGTTACTGGATTTTCCTATGTCTTGATTGTGTCTCTGTGTGTTACGTCTTGACCTGCCTGTGGCAGGGGCGAGATCCTTCTGTATAGCCTGGTTTCTGTGCCCCCATGGCAGGGGTGAAAACTGTCTGCATAACCTTGTTTCTAAGGCCCCGTGGCAGGGGCAAGAACTGTCTGTATAATATGGTTTCTGTGCTTGTGGTGGTGCAAATTATCTGTGTGTTGATTGTCTTTCTCTATTTTCTTGAACTTGAACTGAAGTTATTTGTGGACTGAATTTACCCTGTTAAACATCCTACTTAATCACTGGAGGGAAGTTAGAGGAAGAAGAGAAAACTTGTCAGTAGTAAAGAAGGGCAAGTTAGTTACTCTCTGCTTCTCTAAATGGCCCACCTTCGGAGTAGGGTGGCCACCTGTAGGGACCTTTGTAAAGGTAATCAAAGCAATAGAAAAGAGTCTTTAGGCCAGGATCCCTTGGGCACCCAGACCAAGTGCCCTATATAGTTACCTGGATAAGTCTAGTAGAGGAGCCCCCACCCACCATGGATAAGAGCCTTTCTTCCCCAAGAAAGGTTCTGGCTGTCAGGAGTGCTCTTCGGTCCCGAAGAGAGGATACCAGAAAGAAAGAATGTCCCTTCTGACACAGGGGCACCATCGATTTTCCAGGCT